ACTAAGGCTGCCACAAACGATTATTTTGATAGTCGACTAGTCACCGATTATTTTTATGATTAGTCGACTAATCAGATCATCATCCATTGGACATAAAACGTACAGCTTATTGCACCAGCAGCATCTGTTCTTATACAACTATCATTAGCTTACAGCTTTAAGTGTTTAAGGTGCTAACTAAAAATAAAGACAAGATGAGAGTTTATTAAATTTTAATGACATTTGCAGATTGTTTCGGTGAAGTTTAATAAACTCCTTGCTATCTAAAATATAACAGGACACCGGAGTAAATTCTCGAGCATCTCACACTTCTGATGATCAGCTGTCTGCTTGACGTTTATTCAGCTGTGTGAAAACTATAACTTTAATCTCAACCAAACTACTTATTCCTGCGTCTTTTGGGATCTTACAAAGCTTCAAACGACGCGACGACTATTAAATTAGTCGTCGACGATTTTGATAGTCGGCTAATCGTGGCAGCCCTACTCTAAACCAACAACAACTGTCTGCTACCAACAATGCAGTTTTGAGATCACTACCCACACGCTTTAATATCCACTCACATCTACATCATCAGGTGATCACATGATAGAGTGAGGGAAGGTCTCACAGTGGTTGCACCCGAAACCTCGGCCCATAATAACCCACACCCTTTTTTCACACCTTGGCTCATGTGATGAGGTACATGATCAATAGGTAAAACTCCCACTAGGCTTTACATGCCTGGGACTCTGCACCGTTTGGTTTTAGAACTGAAGATGTTTCTCGGAGGAGAGCTGAAATGTCTTCAAGAACCTTAAAGAAGTCCAGTTGCTTTCATGTCCAAGGTCCTTAGACTACGATGATGTGGATGACTGAGAACCTACATAGACATGTTCTTCTGATCAGCAGATGACCTGCTCTACCTCCTTTTATATGAGACAGTTGTGTTTTTTTTAATGACTAACTAACATCAAATGGTTCCCACTATGAAACGTAACCTGTAGCTTGTCTTCAACAACATTAAAAATCTAGTTAACCATGTTCCAGTGAATGTCAGTGCCACCTCTGTAATATTTAATTGGAAATCGATTGTATATTCTATCATAACTACCTTCCAATCTGCAAATTACCCCTAAAACATAATTAGCAGGCAGCTTATAGAGCTAATGGAACACAGAAACGTACTGATTCATTTCAGTCTGACAATTAAAAACAGTTCACAAGAAGCTTAGGATTATGAATAGGATTTTAATCAATACTTAAGTAACATGACTTGACTTCAGTGTTTGACACAGCTGATCAGGCAGTTTTCCTCAACAGGCTGTGAAACAGGGCTGGCATACTTGGAAAGGCAGTCAGGTGGTTCAGTGCTGACAGTTTTATTTCATCCATGCACTCCACAAACATAACTGCCACGTATACCTCTTCCATACTGTAGAAACCTCCCCCCAAAATGTGGTTCCATGCATTTTTTCCTAGCTTGACTTTGAATCTCTGATATTTGAACAGTTAAAACTGAAGTCTTTACCTTCAGCCTAAAATCAACTCTCACTGACCCCTAATAAATCCTCCAGTTCTTGGTTTAAGTCACCTGACTGAAACATCTTAGCATTTCTGTGGAAAAACAAACCATCACAAAAGGCAAAAGATGATGATGGTCCAGAACTACCAAATTGTTGTCATCACTTCTTCACCAACAGATTGCAGTACGTTTCATAACGGATCATATCAAGCTCCTGAAACTCAGCGTCCATTCACAACAGGCACTCTGTGGACAAAGCTCTGAGCTGCCTTTCATTGTCTCCAGTATTTTGCATCAGAACTGCTTTAATAGTCTTAGCATAAACACCTCGTGGACAGCCTGCTGTGAACATTTAAAAATAACCAAGTCTTCATTTAACCCATTTGGAACAAGCTCGATATTTGTCAGAAAAGAGATATTTAGATATTTTTTAGGTTAAATGTCCTTTTAACAATTAACTGTGATAAATCCAAAAAACAGCAAACAAACTGAAAAATCTCACACTTGTTTCATTGTGCACAAAACTTGAAACAGAAATTCACCATTAATTCCTCACATTTTAGTCCAACCAGAACCCGAATGTGTTCTCACGTCACCGTTATTGACCATTGATATTTAGATATCAGATCTGATCTGATCAGACCAACAAACAGCTGGATGCAGGAAAGTTCAGTGCTGCACTCTCTCTGTGAAACCAGGTTTTCAGTATTTAAGGACAGGTTTATATTTAGTTTTGATCAGGTATGAGTATTTAATATGTATTACATAGCACACGCTGCAGATCTGTTAATATTCCTATACCACACGGTCAGGCCTTGTGGATGTGTCTGTGTAAGGAACACAGCCTCGTCTGTAAGCATGTAAATTACACACAGTTGGTGAAGGAGATCCGAACCTCATCAGTAACTTCATCCATGTGTGGAGCAGAACAATCAGAAGCTCAAACTGCATCTAAATGCCCTGAAGTCGAGTCGAACTTTGAAACCCAAGGATTTCGAGGTCATGTCACGTCTCCGGTGCAAGCCCTCGGTGGTCCTTAAAACGCTCCTCTACAGATTCGCTCTGTTATCAGTCAGGAGCTTCATTCTTCATCCCTCCATCTCTAAAGTCTTTCTCTCTCGTATCCTCTCCTTTCTCCTGTGCAGATGGTTTATCCCTTTCCTGTTGTGTTTCCGTTTTTGTGTCTTCATTTAAAATCTTTTTCTACGAGTCCTCAGCTATTCGTGGTCTTCATAGATACCATGCCAGCCCACTTCTGTTTACTAGATCTAGGTCAGACACACTGCTAGCTGCTGGTACCACAGACTGACACCACATTACAGCAGAGTCCTGGGTTTCATTACTGTCACATGTATGTATGCCTTCTATATTGTGCATCTACACAAAGCTGCATCTCGAAACTGGAGAGTTTTCACTTATTCCATGGGCTGATTTTTTTCACTTAATACAAGATAAAAACAAGTTCCTATATCTTACTGAAATTTCTCTGTAGCTGATTGTGTCTTATTTTGATTGATTGATTGGTAATTTATTTCAACATGTGAACAATATACAGGTACATTTAGAAAAGAAAATGAGAGAAAAAAATACTATACAAAATACATACAAAAAAACGTTCTGATTAATTTACATGTTGAAAGGGAGGAAGTAAACACTTATTTAATCCCACCCCTTTACCATAAATTATCAGTTAATATTTAGTTGCTTCCTCACTGATATAATTTGTAATAAAAATAGTGAACAGATTTCTGATTTACTATATACTATAATATCACATGAGTTTGTTTTTTTTTTAAATAGAGACATGCAATTAATTTCAATATTTTCCTTTTCTTTATAGTTCGAAAAGATCATATTTTTATAACTCTTTTTGAACAGTTTTATGTTTGGACGTTGCTTTAATTCCATATTCAGACTGTTCCATAGTTTCACTCCATGCACAGAAACACAAAAGCTTTTTCTTGTAGTACAAACCTTCCCTGTTTTGAAGTTACAAAAACCCCTTAAATTATAACTTCCTTCTTTCAAAAAAACATACTCTGAATATTACCTGGCAGTTCTTTATTTTTTGCTTTGAATAGAATTTGTGCTGTTTGGAATTTTAATTTTAAGTGTTATGAGATTATTTTGACTAGAAATAAGCCAAATATAATCGTAAGATTGTGAGTTTTTGCCGCGTGGTGCCTCGGCTACGTTTAAAGAGAAAGAAAAAGAAAACTACCGACTGATCAAGCAGTTCTGTGGCCAGGCGAGGCCCGCTTCCCTTCAGACCTATCAGTGACATGGCTACATTTTGTTGGTGTCTTCCAGCAACACCAAAAAGACCATGTGAGACAAATATAGTGGACAACTGCAAAAATGTTTCCATGGTTAAGAAAACCCCTTCAAAACACACTGTCCTAGTCAAGAACAGTCTGAAGGAGGTGGGAGTATCATTATCAAGTGTAAAAATGTAAATACAGAAGGTTTCATAACACAGTGTTGTACTCCAACTGGTTTGAGTGCTCAAGTTGAAAAGCTTTGTAATAACCAGCACATTTATCACAGGAAAGCTTCGGACCGATGGAGCCAAGATTAGTTTGTACCTGAATGATGACAAAAAGGCCAGAAATAATGGAACAGCTTATTATCCAAAGCAAACCCCATTATCTGTCAAACATGATGGATGTGTTATTATGACAGGGACAGGTATGGCTGCCAGTGGAACTGGGTTACAGGTGTGTATACATGATATAACTGATAAAGAGTAGAGTACGGTCCTGGGCCCTCCCTAACCCTGGTTCTGTCCCAGTTTGTCTTTCATTGCCAAGTACTTACTCAGAAGGGATTGTCTGAGTGCAAGTGCACTTCAGGGAACTGCTGTTGTGATTTGGTGACGATCAACGACCCAAAGCATACTGCAAAAGCAACTCCAGAGTTTGACTCCACGAACAAGAAGCTGAAATATCTGTCCCTGCTCGAGCAGAATGATTTCATCACCATTATGTCACACACAGCATATATGAATTACCTGAACACTGCAGTCAAAATTAAGCTTCACAATATTCCTGTTGCCATAAATCTTATTGTGAGAAAAGTTCATATCAAATCTATGTTTCATTGGGTGGTGCTGAAGTAGCTCCGCAATGACAACAACATGTTACAGCCTACGTTCTCAGGCTGACATCAAACATGTTGTAATATTTCTAAAATACTACAACAGCTGTTGAATATGATCACAATCATAATCGTGATCAGTCCACGCCAACATGGCTCACAGACGCTGCATAGGCCTGCTCACAATTCATACAGTTGTTTGTGTCGAAGCAACCTGTTCGCCAGCACGGGCACACGCACAGTACACGTTCCTGCTCAGCAACACCCAGCCACTCTCTCGCTGCGGTATTATCCTAATGCCTGATGGGAACATATGCAGACCGAAGCGGGCGGAGGTAGAATTAGTCCAAATATCATCTGTGGGCAATGCAGCAGCGGGGCAGAACACAGCCACACTTACCGGCCCCCTCCTCTTCAGAGATATGTTCTTCCACAGCAGAAGATGGAGTTGGTGCAGGAATCCCATTTTCCTTCCCACTTTTACTTCACGGTGTCCTAAATGTAACAAATCAGCATAACGGCGGTGACGTCACGCTGGATTTAGAAAACAAGGGGATTTCTATCCCGTTTCTGGGCATCCTGGATCCGATTCAGCCAATAACAATATTATTATTATTATTTTAGCGCAGGCGGAAGGAAAAATGAGCATTTATCCGAGAGCGGCGGCAAAATGCGTGACGGGACTGAGTGTCATCCTCTGTAAACACTTCACAGTCTTGCTTTATCATGCAACTGCTGGAGTTGGAACAGGAAAGCAGTTTGGGAGCAGCCTGGCAAGCTCCAAACCACAGACTTCCGATAGACCTTTCAAAACAAAAGCCTCTTGACTCAGATTTGGACGGTGGAGCATTAGAGCCACATTACGAAAAGAAAGTAGTAAAATCTCTTTGGATTAAAAAGTCAAAATGTGAAGATTACACTTGTTTCCCTCAGCAGAAGTTGTGAATAGATCCTCTTTACTGGACGAACCTTTTATCTGTCCTCTGACCAGTGGCGGTCCTAGCCTGTTTGGCGCCCCGGGCGAACACTCCCTCTGG